TTTTATCATACGCACTTCAGCTGGCGATTCATATTGAGGACCAGCACACATGCAGTAAACACCTTCGAATGCACGAATTCCTTGTTGCTTGGCGATTTCCATGGCCTTCTTCCTGGCACATTTCAGCAATATTCCTTGTGTGAATGAAACTCAAGAGGGCGAAAAAAGATTTTCATGAAAAGCAAATCAAATGCACGCTTCAAAGCCTTTTTCAATGAAACGCCAAAAAATTTTGAACAATTCCAACTGGAGTCATTCCCGACAGTTGCAATGCTGTATTCGAAACCTTAGCGGTGGATCATATGCGGCATGCATCGACGGGAATCGAGCACCAAAGCGTTCATCGTGTGCACCAACGAACGGCGAGAAACCGGCCAGAGCCGGAAGGCAGAGTTGGTCTTTGATGACCATGATGTCACCTTGCTTGAAATGCTCATTGAGGCCACCAGCTGCGTTTGATACAACCAACTTTGTGACACCAAGAAAATGCATTATTCGCACTGGCATTGCACCCTGCAATTTAGAGCTGCCGATTTTTTGGATAGAAGCGAGCATTTGAAAAAAATTTTTTGCATGATGTTTTGAGTGCGATTAGTTGGATAGTGCACACTGATGTTTCTATAGTGTTGGTTGAAAACTTTGGCATTAAGATGGCTCAAATCAGTTTCTAAAACTTTGGTAACTGGTTTCTATATTGTTGGTTGAAAGTCGGATCGACTGATGCGGTCCACTATGAGTTTTGATCACTTTTGATTAGCACGTACCAGCGCGAGATTCATTCCATGTTCGTACGGATGGAATCGGCCCTGAACACACATCACATATTTTCCACCCAAATAACCGAACACCAAATTACCTTTGTGGCCCACCACTGAAAGTTTTTGATATCATTTTGCAAAATACTCGACTATCAAGCAGATGCAACAATTCAGAGTTTCATTGAATCGTTGCTTTGAACCTTTTGTGCTTGGAAATCCGGGTATTTCACTGTATGGTAAAATTTGTTTGTCGGTCACCGATTCGGCAAGATCGCCAAGTCCCGAGCCGCATATGATTGCGAGTGTTGGAGTCTCTTTCAGATTGACTTTCGATTTGATCGCATTTGCCACTTTCTCAAGATCTTCATAGCACTGTGGACTGAAAGTTTTCGCGCTGATCATTGAAGTCACTAAAGGAAATAGCTCATTTCGGAATTCCTAACAGATGTATTCACATCCGTTTTCGCCAGCAAATATTCGAATGTGTTCTCGTTCATATTGCAAAGTATCAATCTATCAAAGGCAGAGTGAAGACTGATAATGGATTTACATTAAACAGGATGAGATGCTGTCGTTTTTAATGTCCAACTTCAGCTAATGTTAAAACACTTTCTGCAATCATATTATTTATCATATCACGGATATATTCACTCGACTGCTTCTCATCAGCTCGTTCTAAGCCAGATGGATCGAATCTCAGCGAGAATGAACACGTTTGAATCTTTCTGATTGGACGTATGCGCAATATTTTACTTCACCAGTATTAATGTTGAAAGAGCGACTAACTGAAGTGATCGTTATGAACTTACTTGATTTGATCCGATTTTGCTGGACAGCACGTGGACATATTTCACCTGGAAGGAAATAGGAATAGTTAAATTAAGAAGCATCTTGCATCGTACTGCATCACATACTTGTCGCGTTCATGAAACGTTTTGATTAATGCAATCAGAGAAGTTCAACGGAGTTTTCGTCAAATTCAAGCAGTATTTAAGAGTGCCAAGTTTCAGAGTGATGCGCAAGAGCGCTGTGAAATGTGATCAGATATAAGATTGTTGCAAAGTAATGGAATATTCCCGATCTCTTGATATGACGAGATGTTCTTGCATGAATTCTAATCCAAAACATCCTTCACAAATGATTAAACTTATCATACTGCATCACATAAATCGCTAACCCACCAAAACGTATCACACATTGTTGTTAGGTATTTCAGGGTTTAATTTTTTTTCTTTTCAAGGTCAACACTATGGTTCAGAGATTTTATTCTATATGACAAGGACTGAAAAAAAACTTTTACAAATGACTTTGATCTTCATTTTGAACATTAAAATGATAACAATGTTTTTTCTATGGTATACAGCGGAGCGCACATGAAAGAATTTATTTATTTACACGACAATAAATGAATAATAAACGGTGTAATAATTCGACTCGACATTTCGGTTTATGACACCGCTCTCATTAGGGGTAACGATGGCTATAAAAAGCTGTTTGGTCATAGTGCAAAAATAAATTTGAGTGCATTCGATTAGTGCTGTCGTTTGTTTGCAGGTCAGTTTGTTGTCAGTGATGCTGCATGCGGTGATTTCTGACATGCTGGTCACCCATCACCTGACTATCACATGGAAAATATGATTATCAATGTTTTAATGATCCTTTCATCGAGGCGCTCTAATGTCTACAGTGCAAATAAACAAATCGCCATTGATAAGAACATTCAACGTCTCATTATCCATATACCACACGCACACAAATGTACTTCACTAGGAAACGGTTTATTCAAAAATAACACACTTATGAATATGAACTTTATGTATGTAATTATGTCGACATCAGCTCTATACAATTACTCCTTGGCGCAGGAAAAATTCGCTTCATCACCTGAATGGTTTCTTCTCGAAAATCTCACATGCAACAATCAATGGAGAGTTTCCATTTATGTGTGCTTATGAATCTATTTATGTCTGCCTATAAATCTATATAAGTTCATCAAATGTCCATAAGGCCTCAATGACGGACAGTGTCGATTAGTGAAGCAACTGAATAAACTGAGAAATGATTCTAGAAGCAGTCAAGTTCACGATTCATTGCCCTTCAACAGTTCCGAGGGAAAGCAAATTTGATTTCAGTGCGTAAGCAAACTGAATCTTGCGAATGCCAACGACTGCGATCTGAGCGTCTAGCTACTTGATGGTTTCTCTCCAAATCATCGAATGATATCTGGAGTAACTAACTGAATGAAACGTTTTTCACGAGAACGCAGCCGTCGAATATCTCAGAATCAGCAGTCTAATGCCCATAAGCGTGCCGAACAAAATGGGTTAAGACGATTCCAGAAGTTCATAGCGATTCGAAAAGCACTGTAGCCTAAATAGTAGCGAAACGGACAAAA